GATCTTCAGCACTGACCTCTGACCCTGAGCTCCACCCGTCTCCTCATCAGGACGCGTCCGTTCCTGCTGTAGACGCTGCAGCTGTAGACGTCCCTGTCCCTCTCCGTGGGACGCGTCAGAGTCAGACTCAGGTCTCTGCCCTTCAGGCCGCCGTCCTTCATGCTGGTTCTGTTTCTGTAGAACTTGCATTGGTCCTGATGCTGGTGACAACCGCCTTCCTTCACGTGGACGTTCCTGCCGGACAGGTCCCTCCACTCCACTGTGGCGTCTGCAGGCAGGTGGAGTTTGGTTCTGCAGGGCAGCAGGACAGACTCCGCCCCTGACTCCACCTCCACCTGTGGGACTGAGAGGACGACAGGACGGACTCTGAGTGGATAAATGTCCACCATGTTGGACTGTCTCCTGTGCGCAGAGACCGATCAGCAGCAGAGGTAACGGTTCTACCTTTGGTGCATCTCCTCCACAGCAACAGTCCAACAACCAGAACCAGGCCCAGAACCAGGACAGCCAGCAGAACCTGGGCCACGGCTGGAAACGGGTTTGAACCTGTGAGGAGACATGGAGCAGAGGAACCCATCAGGCTCTGGAGATACAACAGAACCAGGACTCCAACAATCCAAGATAGAGAGTATGATGAAAGAACAGGGGCGTCTGCATCATGGCGAAGGACACGAGAACCAGTGAGACATCATCATCATCACCAGATGATGAAGAAATGTGTTTGGACAGAGAGAAAAATTCATCTACTGACTGTCACTTTAAGAGTGGAGACAGATTAACCGAGTTTGACCACTAGGGGGCTCCAAACCTTAAAGGATTATAGTTTTTTAGTCTCAATCATAACAAGGAACAAAGTATTTAAGGAAAATTAATCAAATAATAATAATAATAATAATAAAAAAACAGATTAGAGAAAAATCTGGGTAGAAGTTTGATTATTATTAGAAACAACCAAATCTGATGAAGATGACTGAAGGAGATTTTCTCTGAACAAACAAAAATAGATTTTATTACAAATATTTAGAAAATGACTGAAACAGGATTTAGGAATAAATAAAACCTGCAGAGAAATAAAGTTCATCTAAATAAAAAATGAATTTAATTTGGTCTAAATGAACCAAATGATCAGAGATGAGAAGTTTTAGGTTAGATTCTGGAACTTTCTGCCACATGGCAGCCTGCCCCTGAGCAAGGCACTGCCCTGATCATGGTTTCTAGGTTCTCCAGTGGTCCACCTATTGTCTGGATCAGAACTGGTTCAGAGGTCTCATTTGACCCGGGTTCTGGTTCTGGGTTACTGACCTTTGACCTGCAGCTCCACGGCCTGCGGCGTGGATCCCTGGTCCGAGGTAGAGCAGGTGTAGGTCCCGCTGTCACAGACCTCGGGTCTCCTCAGGGTCAGGCTGTAGTCTCCTGCCAGCACAGCGTCCCGGTTCAGGGTGGTCCGGTTCTGGTACCGGCGGTTCTGGTCTTTGAGGAGGTCTGCAGACGAGCCGTTGGTCCAGATGTAGACCGTCGCAGGACTGAGGGCGGAGTTTCTCCATGTCACCGTCTCGCCCTTATATGGAGAGGAGGCCCTGCAGGGCAGCAGGACTGACTCCGCCCCCTCAGACACCTCCAGGACCAAAGCATTCTGGGAACCTGGGACACAAACAGGACTCTGATATGAGCAAACCAGTCCAGGACCCAGGACCATTTGGGTCCAGATCAGACCCTCCTAGACGTTCAGAGACCTCAGCAGGTCCAGCTGCTCTGCTGTCCCTCCCAACGGGGAGCTAACGTACTGGTTCTGGTTCTATGGACACGGCCCAGTCTGCTAAATCTGGACCCGTTAACTGACCAGAATCCCTCGGTTCTTTAGAACAAAACCACCAAACTGGTTTGGGTCCAAATGTCTGAAGTGTTCTGGAGCAAAGAACCAAACCAGAATTTAAAGCTTTCCTTCTAACTGAACTGGTTTTAAAGTCCTGGTTCTGAACCCCAGAGACCGGTCCATTCCAGAACCAGCAGGCAGAACCAGAGATTAGAACTTCAATCAGGTGGATCAACTGGACCTGATTAGAAAATAGTTCTAGGAGAAACAGAACCTCAGAGGGTGTGTTATTGTTCTGCTTGGCTAACAGAACCACGAACATTGGGTATTGTTATAGTTCGTCGCCATGGTAACGGAACCTGAGGCTGGGTTTCAGTGAAAGAAGAAAAATGAATGAATGAAGGAGCAGACAGTGGCAGGTCCAGATGTATCGGTTCTGGTAGAACGGACCCCAGCGATCCATCAGAACCTCATTCTAGTCTACGGTACCAGGATACTCAGACTCTGGACCCCTTGGTTCCGTTTCTGAGGGTCTGAGGTCCGGTTCTTGACCGGGTTCTGGCCCAGTTGATGATTGGATCTTGGACCAAATTGGTGACCGGGTCAGTGACTGGATTACTGCGCAGGTCATTTGTTGGGTCCAGTGACCCGGTCGGCGTCAGGATGTTTCAAATGAAACGTTGCTGTTTTAACATTGCCTGTTGGTTTCCATGGAGACGAGGACAGATACCTGATCTTAGTCTCCAGGAGGTGGACAGCGGTCCGTCTCATCAATTGTCGATTGATCGATTGTATCTATGCTTCTTTTTCTATGTCTGCTTCTGTCTCCTTGAACCCCAGTGGGCCTCA